ACTGTCAGTCAATTTTTGCTACATTATCGGTTAGTGATACAGTATCAGTCAATTTGTGATACATTATCGGTTGGTGATACATTATCCGTTGGTTACTACATTATCAGTTGTAACACGCTGTTACGCAGGTCATAAGTTATAAATACGCAGCGCATCGGTCCCGCATCGGTCGTGCGCGGTACGAGCACGCTATGTGTTCATGGGGGATAAGCCGCTCATACGCGGTAAGGGCCATGTCACACTTCTGCGTATCCTAATTCCTTATGAGTTGCGCATTGACATTTTTTTCATACGCAGTCGTACGCACAATACGCACCTCATATGCATCTCTATCGTTTTGTGTAAGTTTTATGTACGCAGGCATACGCATGGTACGGCCCAGTACGCTGGATAGTTTTGAGCATGCACAAAACTACGCAGGTCATAAGTTATAAATACGCAGCGCATCGGTCCCGCATCGGTCGAGCACGGTACGAGTACGCTATGTGTTCGTGGGGGATAAGCGGTTCATACGCAGTAATACGCTGACCTCCCGGCACGCTCCCCGTCAGCATGATGAGCCGCCTATATTTGACGTATTCATAGCGTACTTGCAGCGCAGATACAACGCACGCTGAACGAACTCATAGCGAATGCCGACGTATTGCGTCGGGCATGCGGTCGGCATAAGTTGGGTGCGTCCGGAATACGCTCAGCATGCGCACTGCATACTGACCTATTCGCAGCCCGAAAAATAATGTTGTGCACTGCATACGCAACTCATACGAATTGCATACGCAATGGATGCGCTGAATTCGTTACTTGTACGCTAGATGTGCGTCGCACATAAGTCAAAGTATTCAAAAAATGTCGACGTTTTGAGCGTACGGCTGCGTATTGAAAACTTTTGATAAGGAACTCATAAGGAATTAGAATACGCGAAAGTGTGACAGGGGCTTAATACGCTGACCTCCTATATACATAGCGTACTTGCAGCGCAGATACAACGCACGCTGAACGAACTCATATCGATTGCCGACGTATTGCACGAATTAGTACCGCTCGTCCTTCGAGCGGGCAGCGCAGTGTACTTATTCGTATCTTATGAGAAACGCACAGATAGCCAACTTGCGCACTGCATACGCAACTCATACGCATCTCATACGCAATGGATGCGCTGAATTCGTTACTTGTACGCTAGATGTGCCGCACATAAGTCAAAGTAATCAAAAAATGTCGACGTTTTTTTATCATACGGCTGCGTATTGAAAAATTTTGATAAGGAACTCATAAGGAATTGGGATACGCAAAAGTGTGACAGGGGCTTTAGCCATTTGTTAGACAAACTCTATGTTTACGCTGGGCATTCGCTATTATGACAAAGATCCTTGGGTTGGACGTATGTGTCTGAACAGCTGACGAAGAAGCAACCTACACCCAACGTGCGAAACGTTCACACAGCGAAGGCTCAACGTATAAATAGCGTATTGATCACTACGTTGACCTCTCAAAATTTTGAACATGCTCAAAATTTTTCCTAGACCCCAGCGCACCTTTGCGAACCCCTATGAACCTCTAACGAATACAACTTATGCCACACGTCTCACGAACGAATGACAACTTACACGAACGTACACCCACATTTCCAAAAACGTCGGGCACACGTTATCTCTATTCGCAACAGTGTGACAGGGCCTTGAGAAGGGGTCGTTTTCTTGTCTCAAATCACGACAACAAATCCCGCCTATTGCTCTCCTTTGTAGCTGTTGCAATGGGCTTTTTATTTGATGACAGGGCACGTCTCAACAAAATAACCTGATTATCAATATAAATCTTGAGCTTTTTATTCGTTACCAACTACGCAAAAAAAAAATGGGAAAAGACATGGTGTATAACAACTCGCAATTACAAGCTTTTAAATATGATGGGATGGGCTAAATGTTGGACAATCTATCACGACTACTTTCTCTGCATGTTACCATCCTTTAATTCAGTGAGGAACTAAGTTGAAATTACAACACAAATCGCTCATACCGAAAGTGATTTAGCCCCATTGATCCATATACCAAAGCCACAGTGCTATTAAAACAAACCATTTCAAGACTCACAATTCTGCATCCTTTGATATTTTAGATTCAGCATCGTTCATCTAAATATGTATACTACTTTCAAAAGGCACACGTTGATTTTTATTATCATTTTTGTTTTAAAATTCTGCTACGGTCAAATTATCAAAGAGGTCTTTTAACAAATAGCAGCTATGAATGCCTAAAATGCAGTACTAATTTGAGCTATTTGTAAAGTTGTTATGTTGTGAACATTGCAAAAATTAAAAACATAAAGGAATGTTCGGTTCTCATACTTATTCGTATTGTACTCGTTTAAACTTTCCAAACATCTGCAAAAAGTTGTAAAAATGCAAATACATTTATAGCTTTTCTTTAATAATTGCATAGTCTGATTGTAAGTAGGTGCATAAACATCTAAAAAGGAGAGTCGGAAATAGCCAAATATCTCTACAAAGTGACATCAAATCATAAATCACTCCAACAAAAACCAAAACACTATTAGTATAGCAATAATATGGTTCAAACTCAAGCCTGTTCGAGTATGAACTGAACTCTACTTTAAAAAAAAGTGTGTGCATACAGTTGTTCAGAAAGAATGCATTTTACATTACATAGGGATGCACTTCGATACCGGCCGTGATTCATATTATGAGGGTATTTAACGTCACCCAAGTTATACATTATACATTCACTTCTGTGGTGCAATTCAAATTCATACTTTTTTTCAGCAAGAAACAAAATCTTCTGAGGATTAATAACTGATATCGGGGCGTGCCTCCACTCGCCAAAGAATAGCCCAGCCGGTGCAGAAACAAATCACGCTTTACAATTGTTATTACTTATTATCCATGTCATTACTTATTAACCATGTTCACATAACAAATAACATTTTTCCCTAAACAATTTATTCTTTTCACTTTGTTATTAAAACTCTATTAACAATATTTTATTCCAAAGTGGATACAAATATAATTGCTGCCAACATTTTTAAAGCATACTTGTTTACTATTTCTCAATGCTCTTATACAAAGCTAAATTAAAAGCACTCAAACTTGTAAATATATTGCCTATACGGAACTGTGAAGTACAAATGTATACAAGTACATTATTTTATAATACGTGCATTTGTTATTTCCCGATTGGATTATTGGAACAGTTTATTTCTTATGCTTGGTTCATACGGTTACCAGCTTAAGAAACTGCAACATATTTAGAATGCTGCTGCCCGACTGGTTATCTCGAGAAGGATAGATCGTCAAGCAGACATGCATCCATACTTCAGGAACTACATTGCCTCCCGGTCACGGTGCGGGTTCAATTCACGATTTTTTGTTAGTTTTCCAACTTATCCGTCGTGGTGAGTCAGCGCCACAGTGCCTCACATAGTTGATATCAGTTCATGAGTTTAACGTTCGCATTAAAAGTTGTGATATGGGGTTGAGCTTAAACATCCTAAAGTTCGTCCAAAATCTAGCAAGGAATAACATGGTGATCGTCCTTTTATTTAACATTTAGAAATTAATCTAGAAATAATAATGAATTTGAAATTTTCAAATCCCAACAACATATATATATTTATTTTTAAATATTATTTTAAAACTTATTTTTAATAGACGAGTATTTTTTTATGTTCTTTGATGTCTTATAAAGCGTTTTCAGATGTTAATGTAAAAATGTTATCAATATATTAAGAAGAATTACTAATTGAGTGGTCGGGCACAACCCGACTACTGTTTACAATTGTTCCGATTAATCTTTCGTTCCTCCTTTCTTTCTTTCTTTCTTTCATTCTTTCTTTCTTTCTTTCTTTCTTTCTCCTGACAATACTTTCTGCGGATTTTCTCCTAAACGGTATATGGTACGAATGTTCATCCCGAGTGGTGCATTTTACTCTAACGTCATGATGACGTCATTGGGCGTCAAATTACAAGCGATTTTCGTTTCATGTTTTGATTGAAATTGTTTTGTCGTGTACGGGAGCTCGCTTGGCCGTTAACACCGGGTTAACCGGAAGGTCCAAGTTAGTTATTCACAACTTAACTGGGCAGTGTTTAAAGCTATAGTCCATCATTTGCAGCTATCCGAAAAGTAACTGGCGTATTTATTGTTGAAAAACATACTTGGTTGAAAAATAGTAAGGGGACTAAACTCCCTGAGAAATTATTTTTTCTGGCAAGCTGTCATTTTGAGGTAATCAACAAAAGAAGGCCTTTCCAACGGTACGTCTTAAGACGCACCGTAGGAAATTTAAATTAGTAGTTCGTTTTGTTATTCGGCGGAGCGCGCGCAAGCATTGGCACGACGCACACTCACGCGCGGTTGCTATAATTCGTCGGATCAGTGCGCGACATCGCGTAGCTGCAATCGGCTCAGTGAGATCGTGTCTCGGACGCTGAATTCAGGCCCAATTCAAAACATGATTCAGCAACTTTTGATTTGAAATTGAAATCCTAGAATGCTGTTTTTCTCGGAATATACAGCTGAAGCTGAGCTGAAACTTCATCAGGTCAGTTGTTCAGTACCCTTCTTTAGATTTTGAGCACTTTTGTTGCTTCAAACGAACAAAATGCACAAATTACACATGATGGATTATATCTTTAATGAAATAGTTGCCTGCCCGGCCACTCTGCGTTTGTACCTCAACACAAACGCCAACTTCTAGTTGACATTCTTATTATTAAGATATTGAACATTAATTTCTTTTTATTCATTAGTTATTGTTTTGGCAAAACAGCCCTGCCCCTTTATTTTCTAGCCTTTCGCCAAGGCCATCGAGGCTTAAAGCTACGAAAACACATAAGAAATGCTTGACAAGATGGCAAAAGGCCTCGTGGCTTCACTACTCGCGTGTGTGGTCTCCCGCTCCAGTCTTTGTCTAATGCCGGCAAGTTAAGCGACGATGGACTTGGCGAAAGGCTACTGTATTTTCATGCGTGGTGATTATTTATTTATTTATTCGGAGTTAAGGAGAAAGCCACTAAATGAGCTGAAGTGCTGGGTGGAATCACTGTGCACCCGACCGTACATCGCTAAATACACCGCGTCTCCACGCTGCAGAACCAGCACAGCGCTACCAGACAACTGACCGCGTTGACTTGATTCACCATAAGTAGTGATCACCCAGTAACTGTTTTTAACAAGATGGATGTGAAGGCTACCACTATTGCTATACTTAAGAACAGAAAAGGAAAATACGTAGGTGCCCGGCACACTGCAGGTGAACGTACCGGTCTCGAGATCGAAGCTGGTACCCGACAAAAGTATCTCGGTCTGCTGGAAGGGCAAACGGGTGTCGTGACTGGAAGAGGTGAACTGGCTTGTCCTCACCACGGTGAATGCCACCCGCTGGTTGGAGTCGTCCAGCGTCTCCCCCGGCTCACCCTTCTGACCTTTGACACCAGCCTGACCGGCTGCTCCAACAAGACCTCTCGGACCTATCTTGCCGGGCAGACCAATCCCATCGTCCCCTTTAGACCCTTTGTTCCCAGGTGCTCCCCGCTCACCCATAGGTCCAATAGGGCCAATCTCACCATGCTGACCTGCATCGCCCTTTGACCCCGGCTGACCGTACGGCCCCATCGGTCCTACTGGCCCAGGCAGACCTGGTATGCCGGGTATTGCAGCAGGTCCTTGGCAGCACTGCTGACACACCTGAGATGCAGGACCATCACCGTCCGAGGGAACAGGCCCAGAAACGGAAGCTCGGAGCTTGACAGAGTTACCCAGAAGGAGGGCGATTGACAGAATGGTGGCGACGCAGATCTTCATCTGTAAAGAAACCAATACATCAAACGAAAAACAAATCAATCGAGAATGGCCTAAACAAAATAAATAAATCAATAGGAAAGAGTAGAGAAAATATTGAGCTAAGATAAACTGAAGAATTTGTCTAAAAGACATTTCTGACTTTGAGAAACAATATAAGAGAATGCGTTCGGCGTTATTATGACAAGGCCTTTCTGACGCCAAGGGGCTCAAAAGGTATGAAAAGCGTAGTTTTTGGGGGGTCAACCCTCACAATGGAACCTGGAAGCTGACACCTGGTGGCGCGCTTCCGGACCCCTCCCAATACGAAAAATATAGCTTGTAAAATTCGGAGTTTTAAAATTCTGATCATTGGGACTTTGATTCTTAAGATAATCACCCTCCGAAAAAGGCCTTTGTAAAATTGTTACTAGCATCTCAAATAGAAACTGAAAATTCGCATGACGTGAAAGAGAAACATTTAAACGAAATCGTAAATGCTCTAACTGCGACCTAATAAAGATGGTTGCAGTTTGACATTAACAATTTTAAAAGTTCTGATATGCATATTTCCTTCCCTGACATATATCATTTTCTAAGAAATATGCGGACAGCAGAGCTAAAGGGCCGAATGATTTCTACAAACAACAACTCTATGTATCAGTTCTACAAATGAATCATGCTCGATAAAGCAATTTGAAATTGAAGTAAATTGTGTGCATCATCATGATCGGGTACGTTTGTATTTGCGCCCTCTAGTCTATTCCAGCCAGTGACACGTTTAACCTGCAACGCTTGAAAGTAACTTAATGATCAAACCGGAATGGCGCACCTGTGAACTAGCAGATTGACACGGTTTAACAAATTCAAAGGTACTGAGAATATCCACTTTATTAATAACACAAATAAGACAGGCATGTTTGCGTTGTCATGATTTCCTGATACGTTCCTCCGTGACCAATTTCCACAGCGTTAAATTAGTTTGAGTGATTGCCGGGAAAACATGTGAGTGCATCGCACAGGAATTTTATGTTTGAAACTTAAAGTGATACAATAAACAGGGGAAACCAGCAAGAAAACAAAGGGGGTAATTCATCATAATGGTCTATAAATTATGGGTAAGGGTATACTTATAAGATTGTTTTCTTGTAACCAAAATGTTAACAAAAAGGAACAAAGATTCATTCGTCTGAAATATTGAGAGCGCGTGAATTTCAATAATAGCAGGAAACTTGGTGTTTAGGCCAAGTACACTCTTGAAAACACATTCTACTAGATTTGCCTAGAAAACAGTCAAACGTGAATAGCCATGTTTATTGACAATAAACACTTCCATGAATTTATAGTGTGCTATTTCTAGCGACAAAAATCTAAATTTGTTTTCAGGAACTAGAGAAACCTTCAGGCAGTTTGGGCAATTTTGTTGATGAAAGTGCAGAATGAAAGCAGTAGCGTAAATATGGTCAGACAGGAATTCCGTTTTCCGAACAAAACATTAATGGCACTAAGTTTGACTGAACTGCCTCAGAACCTTTAGTAAGGAAAGAAAAAAATAATTCATCAATTGAATACGGGCGATTCCCAATAGTGCGCCTTCAAGAGTTTGCAACGCGTTGGCCAATCACAATGCGCAAAATCTGTCGACCCAACGCCCGTTTGGAAAAGGTCGACTGATTTCGCGCATTGTGATTGGCCAACGCGCTGCAAACTCTTGGAGGCGCACTATTGGGAATCGCCCGTATTCAATGATGAGGTTTTTTTCCAATTTGATAAATAGTCATTCGAAACCAGGAACAATTATTCACTAATAAAAACAACGGTCCAATGATTATTTGTAGTTTCCTGATCGGAATACGTCCAGGAAAAGCAACATGTTTTAATCTCGCTTTGTGAAATTTCTCGGGAAACTAAATGTTCCCTGAGATCAACATTAAATTTATTCAAACGCTTTCATTTTTTTTTTTCAAATTCATTAGTATACCAATACAAATCGTATGTATATTTAAGCCATTAGTAAGTTGTTGAAATGTTTTTGAAAGCATATTTGTGTGGATTTTAAAACAGCAAATTCTTCATTCAAATAGCTTTTTTTCGTCAAATTTTACACCTTGCTTATTCAGTGATGAACACTTTCTTTCAAATTCGCATAAAAACGGGCAATCAGTTTCAAACCAAGTTGATTTTGGCGAACAATCAAAATATTTAAGGAAATATTCATTATACGCCTTAAAAGTGGGCAATTGAAACTGACGTTACTTTGCAGTGAATTATTGTGCTTTGGATTTCAGTCCCGCTCGGGAATTCAACTTCATGCATACGTTTGCCAAAGTAACACATGTTCAATGAAATTGGGAGGTTTAGCAAGATCAGTGGCGGATGCAGGGGTGCGGATGGGGCGCCCTCTCCCCAGCAGTGACCGAAGTTTTATCAAATCAGGCCACATTTCACTTGAAAGAGCCCTTCCACCCCTTTTCCCGGCACAACATCCACCCAGGCAGGAAACACTCTGGATTTGCCCTTGAAGATACTGTGTGATAGTGTTGAAACAAAGTATAACATGACATGACTTTCAGATGAAGGAATGTACATAAAGAAAAAAAACATGCATATCAGAACCTAACAATGCTAACCCTAAAAGGGCAGGGTTATTTTGACCATCTCTCAGCCGGGGGGGGGCAAATTCCGCCCCCTCCTAAGATATCGGCCATTGAGTGACAGTACATTTATAGAGCAACCTATCATGAACATACCCAAGACATTTCATGATTAAAGGTCAAGGGGCTTTGGAATTATGGATAATTAATTATTCATATGTACGAATGGTAATTCTGCTCTGTGTAAACTACGTATATGAGAAAATTATTTTTTCGCGGCGCGTATCAAAAGATGCGCAAGGCTCGAGGCTAACAAGTCATAACAGCTTGGGTCGCGAAAATAAAAAAAAAGAATTTCAAGGCTAGCGCTGAAAAAAGTTGAGGGGGGGGGGGGAATTGCGGCCCCCGGCCCTTTTAGGGTTAAGTGGCTAGATGATAGAATGAATGAAGTTTTGAGCACTCTCCCAAAATAAGGCCTACTGCAAAAAAAAAAATAGACTTGTTTCATATGATAAATCATCTTTCGAAAACGGGAAAAATGATACTAATTAATAATGGAAAAATTATTATTTGACGGGTATTTTCCTGGTCGAATACGTCCAGAAATAGCAACATGTTTTAATGTGGCTACATGAAATTTCTCGGGAAAGTAAATGTTGCCTGAAATTAGCATTCAATGTATTTAAACGCTCTCATTAACACCTTTATTCAAATTCGTTTTACAAATAAAAAATGTCTGCATTTTTTTCGAGGTACTAGAAGCCTAAGACATTGAAATGTTTCTGGAAGCGTAATTATGTGAGTTTTAAAACAGCAAATTCTTTATTCAACTAGCTTTTTCCGTCCAATTTCACACCTTGCTCGTTCAATAATGCAACACTTTCCTTCAAATTTGCATAAAACAGGCAAACATTTTCACACCCAGTTGAATTTAGCGAACAATCAAAATATTTAAGGGTGTCTTCAATATACGCGTAAAAACAGGTAGGCAATTGACGTTACTTTGCATCGAAATCACATGTGCTTTGGATTTAAGTCCCGCTAAGGGTTTCAACTTCATGCATACGTTTACAAAATGTTACACATTTTCAAGAAAATCGGGCAGTGTAGCAAAATCAGTGGCGGATCCAGGGTGCGGAGGGGCGCCCTCCCCTCCGGCAGTGACCGAAGCACATCCCCCCCCCATCCTTTTAATATTTTGCAGCATTTTCCCGATTGATCTTCTTCTTGTTTTGCCCCCACTCCCATTTAATTAACAACAGTATGATTCCACGCCTGTCTTTTTATTTTCCCCCTTTTTTCTCCTTATTTTTTGCATGTCCGGGGGCAGCAAGCGCCCAATGCCCCCCCCCCCCCCCCCCCACCTCTCGCAACGCCCATGAAAGCTGATGCTTCAAACTTGGAAGTCGGACAGCTAAACAAACGGTCCGAATAATTTGTACAAACATCAACTCTTAACCCTAAAAGGGCCGGGGGGGCGGAATCCGCCCCCCCCCTCAACATTTTCCGCGATAGCTTCTAAAAAAATTTTTTCGCAACCCGAGCTGTTATGACTTTTTAGCCTCGAGCTTTACGCATCTTTTGATACCAAAAACATAAAAATCGGCCCACGGGTTGGCACGTAGTGAAAAATTTTCCGGCGCTACGCGCCGTGAAAACTGAATTTTCGCATATACGTCGTGTACACCGAGCAGAATTGCCATTCATACATATGAATAATTAATTAGCCATAATTCCAAAACCCTTTGACCTATAGTCATGAAATTTCTTGGGCATGTTAAGGAAGAGTTGCTCTATGCATGTGCTGAGTTTCAAAAAATTTTGTCACTCGATGGCCGAGATCTTAGGGGGGGGCGAAATCCGCCCCCCCCCCCGGCTGAGAGATGGTCAAAATAACCCGGCCCCTTTAGGGTTAACAGGATTTCGAGAAATGAATCCAGCGGAGTAAAGCAATTTGAACTTGAATAAAACTGTGTGTGTAATAATGATCTGGTCCGTTTGTATTTGCGCCCTCTAGTCTCTTCTAACCAGTGACACATTTATCGTGCAATGCTTGAAAGTATGAACGTTCAGGCCTATATAGTGATCAAACCGGAATGACGCATTGTGATCTAGTGAAGGACACAGTTTAAAAACAAAGTGCAAAAGGTATTGAGATTA